GAAGTTGGGATTGCTGGGCTGGATCCTGAGCTCTGCCAACACCCAGATGCCGTTGGTGAGCTGCAGGGACTGGTAGAGCATGTCCTGACCCTCCACGTTCCTCTTGGCGATGGTGAAGATGTTGCTGCCTTGGAGTTTGCTGCTAACGGCATCTGCACGGGAGGAGAGAGCTGCTGCTGCAGGACACTGGGCTGAACATCTCCCTCTGCACCTGCTCCTGCCCTATCTCCTCCTCATGATGCAGCACATCCAAAACCCACCATCCCCACGCAGCGAGGAGAAGGGCTCTATTCAACCAGGCTGCCAGGTCCTCCTGGGAGGGCAGGGAACAGCCCAGAGCTCAATTCACAAGCGGAGCCACCCTGCTTTGCTCCACAAAGGTCAGCTCACTGCTGCCAGCAGGACTGAAAGGACTTGGCTGTCCCTGCCCATGTCCCACTTGGCACCAAATCTCCTGGAGAAGGAGCTGGGGGAGTGAGGAGGCCCCAGGGAGCCTGGCCCCAGCTCCTGCCCACTCTGCCTGCGAGCACAAGACCTCTGCCCGCGCGTTGGCCAGGACAGGATGCTGTGAGGCTGGGCAGCATCAGGGCTGCACGATCCCAGTTCAGCCTCTCTGCACCAGGACCAAAGCCAGGGTGGGCACAGTGACTGTCCCCAGCAGCAGTGACGTCCCCACCGGGCAGAGCATCTCTGGGGCTGTCAAGTTTTTGACTAGTCAGCAGTGAGCAAAGCAGCAGCTCCTTCCTGGAGATACAGGGTAGGCACAGGGGGAAGGTGCTCCTGTCTCCCCCCAGTCTGGGCTGGGCTAACTGGGATGAGCTGAGCTGTGTCCTTCCAAAGGGTTTGGACTCACCTGCATTGAGAGAACAGTCTTTGATCTGGAACTGGGCTTCGTTCTCATTGGGAATGTCCTTCCAAGTGGCCAAGAACATCTGCCGCTCTGCAGCGAGGAACAAAATCAACACAGTGAAGCCCCTGGCTGCCCCCACCCAACTCCAGAAGGTGGGACAATGCAGGGGTCACACTGCCACGTCACCAGCACCTGAAGGGATCTCACCCTGCCACAATGCCATCCCCTCCAGCAGCTTCCCATGACCAGCCTCACCCAGCTGCAGGAAAGCCACCTGCCTTGGGGGGGGGTCCAAGCTACAGTGGCTTGGGGGAGAGCTGGTGAGTGCCAGAGAAGGCAAAATAAGCAGTGAGTGAAGCTCTCCCAGGCAGTGAGGAGTTAGAAGGTGGCTCAGACCATCTCAGGTAGCCACAGCTCAGTCATGCTGGCATGGCAGTGTCGTGTCTGTAAGGGACATCTGGCTCCTCACAGCTCCCCACTCTGTCCCCAGGGCTGGGAACACGACCTGGAGGATTTTAGGGGCTGGGATGGCAGAAGTGCACCTTTCAGGAGCCACAGGCACCTCACTCACCCATCTTCCCATCCTCCACGAACAGGATGTGCAGCGGGTACAGGGTGCTGAAGTAGAAGACATCAATGTTGTTTTTTACCGCGACCTGGGGACAGAAGGAGATGGGGACATCAACAACTCCTCTGCCCTACAGCAGGTGAGCAGTTCCCAAAGCGAGCATCCCATCCCATCCCATCCCATCCCATCCATCCAGAGGAAGCAGTCTGCATGGAGCTGGACATCCAGCTGGGGTCAGACTGAGCTCTGACAGCAGAGAAGACAATGACCTGAGTGTTTCTTCTCACCTGGCTCCTGCTGTCACAGCTCCCTCCCGAGGGAGCACTCACCCTGGGACACCCCCTGCCCCATCCCCAGCCCCCCAGGAGGGGAGATCTCTGGGTGTTCCTCACCTGGAGGTTGTTCAGAGGGTCCATCTTCATGACAGAGCCCACAGTGTTCAGTGGAAGGGAGATCTCCACGGACTGGTTGGGGGCAAGAGGTGCGTGGACCTGGAGAGGAGCTGCTGGGGCCAGGCCAAAGCTGAGGGGACACCCGAGGAGAGCAGAGGGTCAGGGTGGGTGACAGTAGATGATGGCAGAAGGCACCATCCATCCATCCAACCTTGGGACTCCCTGCCTACCTCCACCCAGACCCCAGGAACACCCCAGCTCATCTTGCTGCCCCTGCACAGTCCAGAACCAGGCTGACTCCTGCCCTGCCCATGCTGAGGCAATGACAGGTACCCTCAAAACCTCAGCCCTTCCCCCTACAGAGCCTCACACCCACTCTTGGTGCTCCTACATCATTCCCTCAGGGCCACCCCTTGTTGTGTCCCTTTGAGTGAAAAGGAAGCATCGCTTCACCAGGAGGACAAGTCATGGGATGGAGGAACAGCCTCTTCAGTCAACTTCTTAGAGGCTTTGGTTTGATGATCATCACCACAGCCATCAGAGAGAGAAGGGTCATCATGTGAGGCTGTCCCCAGCCCTTGCAGCTCCTTCCTCCCACCCTTCTCCACACACCACCACCCCAGAGATGAGCTCAGAGGCATCGTGCAGCATCTTATCACAGAACCCCAGACTGGTTTGGGTTGGAAGGGACCTTAAAGCTCATCCAGTCCCAACCCCCCTGCCATCAGCAGGGACACCTTCCACTAGACCAGGTTGCTCAAAGCCTCATCCAACCTGGCCCTGAACACTTCCAGGGAGGAGCAGCCACAGCTTCTCTGGGCAACCTGGGCCAGTGTCTCACCACCCTCACAGTGAAGAACTTCTTCCTAATATCTCATCTAAACCTCCCCTCTTTCAGTCTAAACCCATTTCCCCTTGTTCTGTCATTAACTGCCCTTATGAAAAGTCCTTCCCCAGCTTTCTTGTAGCCCCTTCAGGTACTGGGTATCTTCAGTGGTCGCTGCTGACACAGCCCAGGAAGGGCCTCACCTGTTGCGGTTGAACTGGATGGCAAAGTCAGACATGACCTGCAGGGCTTTGTTCGTCAGCATGAGGTCCATGGAGATGGAGCCCACCTGCCGGCTGAAGGTACCAGAGATCTCCAGCCCCTTGGCTTTCATGGCAGGGAGCCAGACCTGGGTTAAGGAGACAAGAAAACTTCAGGGTTTTACCCAAAGTGAACCCTTTGGTGCTCTCCAGCCTGGCAGAGCCACGCAGGGTGTTTGTAAACCAGGAGCATTTCAAGGCTTCCAACAGAGTTGTCACAGGCAGCCACCCTGACCCCAGCCAGGGCTGCAAGGTGCTGCTGATACACACCCAGCCTGGGGAAGGAGAGGATGGAGATCAGCCCTGCAGAGAGGGACCTGGG